CCCACTGTGTCCTCAGTGCCTGGATTAGGGCCACCCTGATGACCTCACTTACTCTAAGCACATCTTTGGTGGATGAAACTTTTCAAGGCAGGGTTTCACTGTAGCTAAGGCTACCCTCAAACTCCTGAACCTCCTGCCTCAGTCTCAGTGTGTACCACCATATCAAGTTCCTTAATAATTTTTTTCAAGACAGGGTTCCTTTGTGTAGCCTTGGCTGTCTTGAAACTCCCTCTGTAGACCAGGCTGGCCTCAAACTCATAGAGATCCACCTGCCTCTGCTTCTTGAGTGCTGGGATTAAAGGCCACTGCTGCCCGGCTCTTAATAATTTTTGAGGCCCTGTCTCCAAATGCAATCAGAGTTCACAGAGTTTAGGATGTCAACGTACATTATTTTCCCATATCTAGAGGTACTTGCCCAGCTGAATGGTCTGTGTCCATGGAAAGAGAGACCCCTGACAATGATAACTTAGGTACTGTTGTTGTTCCTCCCTCATAGTCAGAGTGTCCTGGTTGTCCCTGGACTGTGCTGGTTAAGTACCAATCTCTGTGCCATCCACAAGTCCTACCTTTAAGTGCAGCTCCTTGACAATGTGGACATCACTACAATCCTATATGTGACCCTAGATAGAGAGGGTAGCAACAAACTAAAGGACAAGTTGGTACAAGTTCAGGTTGGTGAGACAATAAGTTTATTAGGGTTATTTTAGGAACATGGGTAACTCCATAGGCAGCTATATTGCCAGGAAGTCCCCTGGGCAATTTATGGACATCTACAACACTGGAGAATTCTACATGCATTTGTGGATGGCTCACAAAAAGCTGCACCATTGGAGAGTCCCCTGGATGACTTGCAAATAGCTATGCTATTGAAGAGTCTCCTCCTCGAACTCCCCAGGATCCTTCCACCACCTGTATAACCTTGGGAAGAGGTGGACCTAATGAGGAGTTCTTGAAAACCCCGTGAACCCCAAGAGCTTCCTTGCTCCACTCATGAGAAATGTTAATGGCTTATCTCATGAGGGTCCCGAGTAAGTGGGTGATCACAGTTGCTCTGGCTCAAGATAGCATTGCCATGTTCTACTTGGAGGAAACAGCTAAAGAACATGTGATTTAGCTCTGAGCCCCAAGCTGGGCTGTGGCCTCTCACTGTTAGCATGAGATGCTCAACTCTCTTTAATTTCCTGAGGTTGAGGTCACCCAACTACTAACCTAGTGCTTATTAGCCACTTAGCTTTATGCCTCAGTTTCCCATTTCCCTGGGATAAGCACAGGCCACACTGGACACTCCTGACCAATACCCATCGCTACCCTCCTCCCTTCCCACTTTCTGACCCTGAGCGTGCCTGTGGCCTGGCTGGAGGGCCAGCCTAGTCCACACTGTATGGCAGCCATGCCTTGCTGGCACAGGATCAATTGGGAACTGCCTCTGTCTCATCGCCATCCGTTTCCATAGCCTTAGCCAACTGGCTGCTGCTCATGAGAGTTCGTGGAGGGCCAGGGTGGAGAGGGGCATGTTCAGAGACACCCCCAGAATAGGGCAGCTCCCTTCTTCCTCTGGGAAGGGAGGAAGCCTAAGGAGAGAAAAACAGGAAACTACCTTCATCCTGGGAAGTGGGACCTGGGACCCCTCCTGGCCAGCTTGCCAACTTTCCCACCCCTCCTGATGGCGGCAGGACCTGGGCCCAAGAGAGATGTTGGTGATGACACCAGTTGCAGCTGGGCTCTGGGGATTGAATAGGCTCCTCATTTCCCTGGCGCTTTCAGGAGCCAGTCTGTAGGCCCCTCCTCATGCAAGCGGGCAGCAGTCTAGGCACCAGCCTTGTGGAGGTTGCTGAGCATGGAGCTGGTATTTTGAGGCAGAGTCCAGAAGGTTTCCTGGGCAGAGGCTGCAGCCATCACCAAGACACCTCATCAGACAAGTTCCATTTAGTTTCCCTGGAGTCATTTACATGGCACTAACCATGGCTGCTAGCCTGGGCAAGCATGGAGGGAGCTTTCTGATGTATTCTGAGTGATTCCAGCTAGGGTAGATTTCTTGCTTGTCCTCCCTGCCCTCCCTGCCCTCCCTGCCCTCCCTGCATGGGTGGGAAGCCCATTTCTCCTGTGCTGGACAGGGACAAATTGATGTGAGGCCTGAGGAATGTGACCCCACCCCCCATGGGTGGT